TCATTCTCACCTTATCTCTTTCTCCTTCAATAAAAAATTATTTTTTGAGGGAAAGGATGATATTAAAACTCAGATATGTAGGTTTATTTCCAGAAGACATTTGATTCATCATCTGTGAATTGAGAATAATGTCGCTTTTTCTACTTTCTAAGAATCTTGTGAAAATAAGTCTGCTGTGGATAGAAAGGCATTCAGACATTATGTAGATGAGCGTTGTGGAAGGAATTAAATATTCTCTGTTCTAAAAGAATCGAATCAGTGCCAAGCAGTGGCGGTGTGAAATGAGTGAAATTAAGCTCTGGTTCAAAACAGGTGTTTTTCATTCCCACAGTTCATTGAATCTGACTCTGATTTTGATGTCAGATAATAAATACACTGTCATTTTATTTAGCTGAACCGAATCAAATCATTATTACGAAGTGCTAAGTGATCTGCACGGGAACATTTGCTAATGTTATTTGGCACACATAAAATAAAAATAGTGATAAAAATTACTCATAAAAATAACTTCCAGTACAGAAAAGATACTAATCACGTTGGTTACCAAAAAGCAGCAGGAGCACATGAAATAGTTTATGTGGCTTTTCAGATCCTACTAATCTCTCTTTTATTCTAAAGGTATTCGGTTGATACTTTAAACTTTTGCTGAAAGCTTTCATTACATTTTAATGGATGTTAGCCTTTAAGCAAGTTGTTTTAAATCCCCTTGGTTGAGAAAGGCTTCAAATCAGATTCTATCTTCAATGCTGCTTTTTTGAGCTATGCCCCACTTTCTGTTCTTGAAGATGAGGAAATGTTTTTAATCTTTTGTAAAGTGCACTGAGGAACGATCTAATTTAGTGGTGGTTTCATATGGAGGGGTTCTATTTGTTGCCATTTAATGACTTTTATTCTGTGCACACCTTCATTTGTACATTGCAGGAACAATTGGATGTAAAGAAAGTGATTAACTTTTACCAGCCTTAGACGTTGTCTGTATTAGAATGACTTTATCAACTTTTTTAAAATCATGCCATTAGGGTTTTTTGGATGACAGTACTTTCATGGGGAACCGCTATTGAGTCAACCACCCGACCCCAGCTTGAAGCACAAAATGTTGAAAGCAGATCCGGAGAAAAGGATAATTGTTCATTAGTTTTGCATGTTTTAATTTAGGCCACAACCCAAAACGTATTGAAGTCGATCTAGAAACCACTTTGGCTCCGCTGGCCTTTTTCAGCAAGCTTTGTGTAGAGAAGGGAATCGCTCTATTTCAAATGGGAACTGAAATCATAGAATTGAACTAATAACTGAAATCGAAGAAATTCAGGAGGCTCTACAAAGATTTTTATACCAAGTTTTGTGCCGGAACGGGGCAGGATGCTCTCATGAGGATGTGCCAGCGCCGTGCCGCGCCGTCGTCAACCCCGGCACAACGCACCCGTACGGGTGCGTTGTGCCGGGGTTGACGACGGCGCGGCACGGCGCTGGCACCCTCACTCCCCCCATGGAGAATTTCACACCTATACTCCATCACACGACATCAATTCACCCAAAAGAATGTGAGCAAAAACTCAATCTCAAAAAATTCCCAATTATCGGTTCTGTGATTTGCACTCAAGGAGGAAAAACCCCCTTAAAACGTGAATTGGTGCCCTTCCCTTTCACTTGTTATGACATTCCAACCTTCCGACACTCCATCATTGTGCAAACGAGCTAGTTTTCTTTTTTTCAAAGAAAAAGAAATGGTTTCTAATGGTTTCGATACTTGGGAATCTTTGCTTCCCAGCCTAATATGTGAATGATGACAAGACAACTTGCAACCTACAACAGTGAAACATCTCAGTTCTTGTTGCAATATTTTTATATGAATTTGAGAGTTTGTTTACTTTAAAAAAAAAAAGGGTACAAATGTAATACAGCAAACTCTAAGAAGGTGTTAACTATAATTCATGAAAATTAAATTAGATGGTGTTTTATGCCTCTACTGTCAAGTCTGTGCAATTGGGTTATTCAAGGTAGTTGGGTTATATCAACTAGTTGTATATTATTAATTTGTGGGTTTCTCTTCAGGCATTTCATATCCCCTCAATTTCTGCCATCTGCCCATAAATTATAGCTAAAGTGATTGGCCAGCAAATCCAAGCGTCGTATCTTTTCTGTAGATTGCTCTCGTCTATATATTGTTTACAAGGCTGTGAATTTGTGTGGTGGATAATATCTATTTTCCTGGGCTGTTTATCACATTCCCTTAAAAACGTGGCGATCAGCTGGGAGGCTGGAGCCAGAGGAAGGTGGCTCCTTTTCTGGAGGAGCTCCCTGAGCCTGCTCCCAGCTTAATGCAGTGTCATTGTCAAGGAGCTCTAGGGACCAAAAACCTTTATTTTCACTCCAGACCCAACAGAACGCTGGATTCTGCATCTTTAGATTTTGGTTACTGTTCAGGGCCATGAATTCAACTCTTGCATCTGATTTTTCACCTTCCTTAAAAATTCAGGGATGTCTGAATACACTATACTTTGTTCCTTATTTCTTTCCCTCCGCACTTCCTACTAAGCTATTAATCATAGTTCATCCACTCTTGGTGTGAGTTTTTCATTTGAATAGGACTTGTTAAAATTTTCAAACATGATTGATTTGGATGTTACTGACATAATTCATAGAATCATAGAATTGCCCAGGCCGGAAGGGACCTCCAAAGGCCATCTAGTCCGGCCTCCCCACAGTCAGCAGGGACACCCCCAACTAGGCCAGGTTGCCCAGGGCTTCATCGAGCCTCTCCTTGAATATCTCCAGGGATGGGGCCTCAACCACCTCCCTGGGCAACCTGTTCCAGTGCTCCACTACCCTCACAATAAAGAACTTTTGCTGGCGTCTATTAGATAAGCAGTGTATTATTTTAATAAACATAACCATCTATGCTCCTAACAGACTTTCTTTGGGATGTACAATACAGAGGTTATAATTTTGAATGCAAAAGTGTTCTCAGGGCAAGTAAATGAAGATGTGCCTGGCTGGAGAGTCTTAGGATGTTGAAACAAGGACAATTAAAAATTAGGGCAAATTCCTTACAGGGAGAAAGACATGTCTTTTAACTTCACACTTAAAACTTCATTCATTTAATCAGTTTTCTTTTAAATCACTTTGAGGGGAAAGCTGCCTCTGCCACTTTTGAAGGCGCTGAGGTAAGGAGAAGGCTGCCATAGACGAACCTGATGTGATGCATCTTTTTCTGCATGGGGTGTCTCTCTGCTCGGTGCCGCCCAGCCCGGCGGGGAGCCTGGCAGAGGGCTGTGCTGGAGGCTCAGCCTGCTGCTACTCACACCGGGCCTGCCCCGGGGAACCGCCTGCTGGCATAGCTCCCCTGCATCATGTTTGATGGTTCCCTTTCATCCTAAAATTCTTTTTATTCCAACTATGTTAGTAGGATGGGAGTTTGATTAAATCTTTTTATACTGACTTGCATTTATAGAGTCAGACTTTAAGCTCAGGGCATTTAATGTAGTGTAGGCTTTGGCCAAGCATCTGTAATTTCAACAAGGATTTTCAAAAAATGGCTTATCCATCCACTCAGGTTGAGGGAAAGGTCATGTCACATAAGTGTTCCTGAGACGGAAAATCTTTTGTGTTACAGAGAGGGCCCATCAGCACTGTAATTACCTTGCTTTGGTAAAAAGAGGGAGTCAGAAAATATTGAGAGTGGTAGAAACAACCAGTGAACACTGTTTTCTTTAAATGGGGGTGTATATGGACTAGAGCTAGTCTGGGGTATCAGAACTATTGCTATCAAGCAGGAAATTGCACTATTATCACTAAACTGAAATGTCAGCTCTGTTGGAAGTGTCAATTACTGGTAATGTATGAGGTGGGTTTCCTAGTCTAATTGGGAAATATTTTTAAAAGACAGTAGAAATCATGTGAGTAAGTTGTGAACTTTGTCTTCCTCTAGGTAAATTACTGTGGTCAATTCCTAAGGGAGATGGGGAAAATGCTTCTAAAAAAGTGTGATAGATGTCTTTTGGGCATCAGAGCCTTGTTAATGGTCTCCTGCCTTTTTCCTGGGTTTATTGTACCAATATAAACTTTAGAAATGCTGATACAGGAATTCCTACAGACTTCAGGAAATAAGCTTTGTACAATGCTTCGCCACGCTGTGGGCTTCCACAGGTCGGTGCTCTATTTCACCCTGTGATCTTTACGTGAGTAAATGGAGAGCAAAGATAAAGTGTTATCAATGGCTTTACTCGGAGAAGATTGCAGTGCATCTACCACGCACTGCATCCTTTACATCTTTAAGGACTCTTTACATCCTTACCCACATGAGAATAATAAACAATAAACCATACATGCTCAGGGTATGTTACCTTGCCTAGAGCAGCAGCTTCTGGTTTTTCCCTGCCTCTTGGCCCATGGATCTGTAACGCATTAAGAGCAATTTTTCTTTCTTTGCTTGCTTTAACCTGGTCAGTTCCTCTGGCCACAAGGATTGTCAGAGAGTCACAAAATCAACAGCCCAAGATATACTTTTTACTAATGAACTACTACACGTGGACTAACAGCCCAGGCTACAGCAGAGTTATCTTTCTGTGATAGTGTTACCAGAACAAACTCACCTTGTCCATATTGGTTTGGGGTATTTCTCCAACACAAAAGTCTTTTCCTTATTTCTACCTGCCACCACAGCACACCACTCTGAAAGCTTTCTCTTCAGCTCACGATGCAAAAATAGCATGGTCTGTGAACTGCTGCTGGTATTTTAAGCTCACTTCTGTGAGACTGTGCCCAAGGTCTGACTGCCTTTGCTCGCTGCTTGTGCCTCCTGCATTCACACAGGCTCCTTGATCAACCCTGTGCAGCAGAGGACACGAGGTGCTCAGATAACAAAAAGGACAAAGTCTATTTCTCATGGTCAGAATTTGGAGGCACGGTTTGATTTAGTACCTTTTAATTTTTGCTGTAAATCATATTACTCTCCTTGTAAGATTGTTCCAATCACTTTCTTATTTTGTGTCTCTTCACAGAGCGATGAGGTGTTAACTGTCATCAAGGCAAAAGCGCAGTGGCCTGCCTGGCAACCTCTGAACGTGTAAGTGGGGAACAGTATGTCTCAACAGCCTTGTCTTCAGCTTAATGGACTGCTCTAAACTCAGTCTTATGTAACCATTTGCTCTTGTAAAGAAACAGTGTTTTTAATCTTTTTTTTGGGTGGGGTTTTTTTTTTTTTTTGCCAACAATTGCTTCCCTCATTCTTTCCTCTTTAGCACCTCTTCATTTTTTACGTTCTTTGGTTCACTAACTGTTACAGGAGGGTATCCCATGGAGTTTGTGCCTTCATTGAACAATGATGTTTATTCAATGCTTACTCAAAAATATATTGTACTAGTATATATGTAGTATTTTTTAGCATCCTGTGTTACGCACTGTGCCAAAACAGCAATCCACCAAAAAAAAAAACTCTTAAAGGATTAATTCTTTAAAATGTTTATCCAAAACACTCTATGATAGCATCATGATCCTGATGGTAGTACAACCATGGTTGTTTTACCAACTGGGACAGCTAAATAGCTTCCCAGTATCTTAATTCTGGGATCTCTGGCACTCAGCAGAAAAGAGGACACAACTCTTCTTTCAGGATGCTCTTGAATTTACTGGTTGTCTTGGCTGGGGGGAGGAAGACGGGGGGGGGGGGGTAAGGGTGGTTGTTCCTGCATAACTTATCTGTGCTTGGCCCAAAGTTCATACTGCTTACTTATCCAGGCCCAAATCAATGAGAATGACAAGAAGTGACTAAAGATAAGAAGCCAGTATAAGGGGTCACCCCATTAGCTGAGAGTCAAATTAAATCCTTGGAGAAGCAGGACAACTAGTCTACTGCAATATTGTAGGGAGCAGGTGGTCCTCTTTCCTCTGTAAAAAGTATAGGGAAGTGGTTAGTGGAACACTGTCTGCTTTTGTCATCTGTAGTTCAGAAAGTATGTGAAAATTTGGAGGTTAGTCAGAAAAAAGCTGCAAAAGAGCTCAGTTTTTAGAAAACATCCCATACCATAAGAGGCTTAGAAACTCTTAAGCAGCTTAGGACTCAAGCTATTCAGTTTATCCCCTCCCCGCCTGCAAAAAGAAAAAAAAAAAAAAGGGGGAGGAAGACGGGGGGTGGGGGGTAAGGGTGGTTGTTCCTGCATAACTTATCTGTGCTTGGCCCAAAGTTCATACTACTTACTTATCCAGGTCCAAATCAATGAGAATTGCAAGATAAGAAGCCAGTATAAGGGGTCACCCCATTAGCTGAGAGTCAAACTAAATCCTTGAAGCAGGACAACTAGTCTACTGCAATATCGTAGGGAGCAGGTGGTCCTCTTTCCTCTGTAAAAAGTATAGGGAAGTGGTTAGTGGAACACTGTCTGCTTTTGTCATCTGTAGTTCAGAAAGTATGTGAAAATTTGGAGGTTAGTCAGAAAAAAGCTGCAAAAGAGCTCAGTTTTTAGAAAACATCCCATACCATAAGAGGCTTAGAAACTCTTAAGCAGCTTAGGACTCAAGCTATTCAGTTTATCCCCTCCCCGCCTGCAAAAAGAAAAAAAAAAAAAAGGTTAGAAGGTGAGCACAGCTTAAATAGTGAAAAGATTTCTGATAGCTGATCCCTTTTTAATCTAGAAAAAAAACACCTCCATGAAATCCCTCGTAGCATGGATGCTAAGGAGATTCATGACAAGGAAATTCTCACTAAAGGTATGGGAAAAGGGTTTAACAGTATGAGTAACCTTCAGAGCAGCTTACCTGAACATGAGAGAGATTTTCCCTCACTCGAATATCTAGTTAAACCTGAGACAGAGTTGTAGGCTCTGCACAGGAACTGTGGGTTAAGCTTTTTTTGGCTGGTGTTATGCAAGTGGTCAGTCAAGGTGACAGACAGTAATGGCATTCTTTATTTATGGTCTTATTCCCCTGAAATTTTCAGTAGTTTGAATTGGTAGCATTTGCCATGTAGTTGTGGATAGCATTTTTTTCCTTGCTGCCTCCTTTCCATTCACTCCAAATTCACACTTTAAAATGGAAACTTTTGTCCACTTCTCCGTTCTACTACAGTCAGGTCTCTGACTGAAAGAAGCATTTATTTTTTCCTTTCAATTCCAGTTACTTTCCCAAAACAACATTTCTGTATGATGTTTCTGTGTCAAAGTGAGCAACACTACCAGGAATCGACTGTTCTGGGTGCTTGGAAGGCTTTGGCATTGACAGGAGAGCAGGTCTGTACTTTGGTCACAGAAAGATGGAGAGAGGATCTCCTGCTCCAGAATCTGAATCCATCATCTTTCAAATACACTGAATATATTGCATAACAAAAATCAAAGCTAATTAAAGTATGTTGCCCCTGCTCATAATAGCTAGTTCAACACAGCACCAAGAAACTTCACAAAAAGGCTGAGCGTGAACAACTTCAGATACTTTATAGGCAAATGCTTTTGCAACATCCTCCAGATGTTCTTCTGGTTAATTTTTACCTTTTTTATTTGGTAATTCTCACCTTTCAGTAACATCAAAAGGAATAAATCTTGGTATTTGTGCTTTCAAATGCTGTGCAAGCGTTCTCCTAACAAACGTTCCTTCACTTTACAGGTAGTGTTAGATTTTTGGGTTTTTAAATATTTTTTTTTAATCATATCTTTCCATGATGTCCTTCTGGTTTTTTATTTCATTTAACAATATAATTTAAGTTTCAAAAGACGACAAAATTTTCAATAGCCATTAATGTCTGGTGATAATTTCCCATTTGCTGTTATGGATGGTCCTTCTTGGAATTTAGCTCAGAGTTGTGCAAGTATTGGATAATGACTTCTCAGGATAACCATTTGGTCTATTATTATGCATAACACAGCCATCTTACTAATGAAGAATTGACTAAAAGTAATGAATAACCTTTTTTTTTCTGCATGCTCATTAGTTGTATATCTAATATATAACACAGTGGGATAGTGGTGCCAAAGTGGTGTTACAATGTGTCACAATAAGCACAGCATAAAAAATTTCCTGAATGTGTTTTACAACCATTATAAAATGCATAATCCTAGTAAGCCAATTTATGAAGGCATAAAGTGTCAAAAGTAGGCAAATTCAGCCTGCTCACCCTTCAAAGTTTGCCTCGTGGTTCCATAGAGTCATTTTTATTGCTATCCCTACCCAAGTTTCGGTACTAGGTTAGTTACAGCAATTACATTTAAAATCCGAGGGAGGAGGGGAACAGTTGCCTCCAGACCTTGTGAGAAGGCTGTGAGAGCATTCATCTATTTGTGTGCTGTTGTGGAGAACATAAGATGAAGCCCCATGGACCCCAGGCTGCTACCCAGGTGAGAGTGACAGCCCACAGCTCCTGGGGCTGGAGAGCAGGGACATTCACAGGGGTGGTGGCAGACACTGTCACACAGGGGAGCCTTATGGGCTCGGTATTTGCTGTAGCAAGGCGTGCTGCTAATTGCTGCCCTAATCTTGAGCAGCTGGTGAGCCTTTGCATTTTTTACTCTGCTCACCTGTGCAGGGACATTCACAGAGCTGCTTTCCAAAGCAGCAAAGGAGGCAGCAGCACCTCTTCTCCTTACAGAGGCTGTAGCAAGGCATGCTGCTAATTGCTGACCTAATCTTGAGCAGCTGGTGAGCCTTTGCAAGCAGGGACATTCACAGGGGTGGTGGCAGACACTGTCACACAGGGGAGCCTTATGGGCTCGGTATTTGCTGTAGCAAGGCGTGCTGCTAATTGCTGCCCTAATCTTGAGCAGCTGGTGAGCCTTTGCATTTTTTACTCTGCTCACCTGTAGTAATGTGTGAGAGGATGGTCTTGGCCAGGCATCTCTCGTTGAGCTGATTCATTCATCATTAAACGGCTTCCCTTCTACTCTGTCAATACTGGTCAATAAGGCTGTGACTCCTGAGGCCAGTCATACCTCATTAAGTAAAGTTTAAAGCCCTGTATGGACTAAGGGCATGAAGTCTCTGTTTCTAAATCCGACAGTGATGCCGAAAGCCTTCGGTTTGTGACACCTGAGGTAAGTGAAATATAACTGGGAGCTATTATTCTGCTCAGGGAGAAGAAATAGAGCCTTCTCGTGGAGATCCACTGGGCACAAAGTGCCACACCAGGGAGAGGTCTGTGGCTTTGGGCATGAGTTCAGATGTAAGAAATTACAGAAGGGGCTGGGACAAGTTGCCAGCCCTAAGTAGGGAAGGTTATAATGACACTAAATAATTTTCTCAAATGCTTTCTGTTAAGTACAATTAAGGCTAATACACTTTAACATATTGTCATCTCCCAGTACAGTACAATGCTGCTGAACCTATGTCCTGCCATAGACTTCATATTTTACTGTCTTTTATCATTCCTCTCCTCAGTTCCTGGATATGCCTACTCTTTGCCACTGGTTTTCTTTTTTCTACCTGTCATTCACCTTCATTATGCTCCATTCAGTTTCTTATTCAGGGCACCAGCATCCAGAAAAACTCTTCTGAGCTGTTGCATTCAGGAGCCAGTTTTGGCTGATCTTTGCTTTCTTGGTTGGGAAGCCATAAAAGTAGTTCACAATGTTGGTAGCAGGAGGAGTGCCAGACCAAGTCATAATTTTGCTGTTGCTTATGTTTGTATTATCAAGTTGTGTGTCTGAAATTCTGACTTTAAAGTAAAGTACTTGCAGGGAATACATTCTTCCTTGAGTGTAATGGTATCAGTATACAGCATGCTGTCAAATGAAAGTAGTTTTTCTTATCTTACTTGTATAAACAAGAGCACAGCTCATTGCTCCCTTCCTCTCAGCTGTGTTTCAGGCAGAATCAAATTCTACTTTCATATTCAGCTGCAAATCGTTGGCCTTTTGCAGTATAGAGGATAAAATATAGCAAATACAGACAGTACAACTGGTATCCAAACCTGCATATCTGGCACCTGTAAAATAATCAAGTCATGACAGAAGAATATGGGGATAAAGTAGTCAAGACTTTTAAAGATGGTATGCATCAAATTCCACAGGAGCTACTACCGTTAAAAATCTTACCCTTACTCCAAATACATCTCTTTTTTTCTCCTTTTTTTGGCTGTATTCATTA